TGGCGACCGCGAAGGGTCCCGAGGGGGACGTGGCGGCTTCGGCGGCGACCGCGACGGGTTCCGACGCGGACGCGGTGGCTTCGGCGGTGACCGCGACGGGTTCCGAGGGGGGCGTGGTGGCTTTGGCAACCGCAAGAGCTTTGGGGACAACAATGATGATGTCAATGGTGCAGATGGTGGTGACAAGGAAGGATTCAGGGGAGATGGAGAGGGTGGTTTCAGGGGAGGACGAGGCAGAGGCTTTGGCAACCGCAGGAGCTTTGGGGATCGTGATGATGATACTAATGGATTCAATAACAGAAGTGATCGTGGAAGAGGATTTGGAGGTCGCAGAAGCTTTGGAGATCGTGATGGTGGGTTTAATGACCGTGGGTCTAGAGGTGGTTTTGGTAATAGGGATGGTGGTGGATTTTCGAGACGTGGGGATAGGGGGCGAGGGGGTGGAGGTTTCAGGGGGGGATTCAATAAGAGCCCAGGCCTAGGGATGAATGCAGAAGGAACTGGTGAAAACAAGAAGATTACTTTCGATTAAACAGCAGTCTTCCCAGACACAGGGCAAGATATGATAGTAAGTTTCTCTCTCTTTGTGGTAATGTTCCGTGTTATGTTGCAAGTGATAGTGTACTTGAAAATTTGAATTATTTATGAGTGAAACATTATTGGTGAGGAGAACAGGCTTTTTCCTTTTTCTATTAGATTAGTTGTCCAAATTCTCGTCCATGTGAATCTAAAATTTAAGTTGGAAAGAGACTTAAAACAACATACAGCAGGCCATTCTTATCAGATCTTGCCCTGTGTGGATGGGGAAAAATGGTTTCATATCTTATACATAATAGAAGCTTTATTATTTTATTACTGTGTAAGGAGGTAGGACCAGAACACATTGTAACGCCACAATCTATTCCCCTTTCAGCAAGGTGCAAGAGGATGTTGGGGTGAAGGTGCCTACAGAACCCTCAAGGACACTCGAGGAAAATCTTTCCGTCATGAAAAGAACAAGAAGAAGAAAGGATCTTACCGAGGAGGCATGTTGGACACGGCCGTCAACTCGATCAAATTTGACTCGGACTGATAGAACGGTTTCCCATGTGAAGCACCTCCCTCCCCCCCACCTTCAGGCAAATCAGACCTTTATCCATGGGCTGCCCAGAGTGATGGATAACTGTTAGAGAAAGGCCAAGGGCAGAGATGCAGCCACACAACACTGCCAGTGGTTTCACATGAATGTGTTTGTGTGTGGAAGCTCATGTGATATATATATATTTACAAAGGAGATACATTACTGTGTGGGAGTTGTTTATTTGTTGAATTTTAAGAAGAGAGTACATAAAGTGGCAAACTTCAAAGTGATGAGGAAGTGTTCTGATGGTGACACATTCTTGTGTGTTTGAATTCGTAATTTAGCTACAGGTCTTTGCATTTGTGGAAGTGCAGTGAGCCTCAGCAAGGTCTCAGTGTGAACAATTTCCTTGGTTTGTGAACCTGTAACAGGAGAAAGTCCAGTCTGGGAGGTCGTTTAGGGCTATAAATTGTCAGATAGGAGAATGAGAAAAATGTATTTTTTTAGAAGTTATTGCTATAATACAAAAAAAAAAAAAATTTAGTTCTATGCACTGCAGCCATAGATATTGTTAGGGTTATACGTACTTGTACATTTCCACTTTTGACTGAAAAGAAAATGGAGATTATAACCCCAACATTTTATTTGGTGCAAATAGGAAGAGAAATCTGTTCCTCTTAAGTATTTACATAATAGTTTGTGTAAATAGACGAGATAACAGTTTTGGTTGTACCATTAATTGAAAGTATTTGAAATTTGTGTTTGGTACAAAGTTTGTGGATGTTGTTTTTCTTTTTTCTTTTTTCTTTATTTTTCTTTTCCTACTTTTTAAACAGTTCTTTTGATATTTTGGCTCCTTGATTTATAAAGTTACCTTGTTAAGTTTATGGCTCAAAGATATATTGTTTTCTTGTCCAAACTGTTCAGCGGTTTGGGAAAAAATTGCGCTTACCTCCTATCTCAGTATTTAATATGTTCCAGAAACAATTGTAACTACACAAGTAGTTATGTCAATGACTGTTTAAAAACATAGATTAAATGTTTATACGTATATGTTATTTTTGTTAATGAACTCCCTGAGAACACCTTAAATGAAACTTTATCTATGAAATTTCTTTATATCTGTGATCGAAGGTAAAATTTTATCCATAATTGCAAATGTTGCCAATGTTACGGTGATTCTATGATATGAACGAAAAGGAAAAGGAAAAAATGTTATATACCCCATTAGCTCCCCCTCTCTACACTTTTCACTGCCTTACTACCCTCTAGTACTGTTCAGCCTGTAACTTTATCCTAATTACTAATTTATGCCTAACCCTTTTCGCTAATATACGTAGTGACAATTGACCTTTGCCCCCAAACCAGGCGCTATCGCTATATTTTGAATACGCCTTTGATATTAACGCGGCAGACTTATTTCAGTAAAATAAAAAAAATATTTGCAAGGAAATATCCATACGAGCTGTTCAAAGGAAGAAGGCATTAAACAAGGTATTGGTTATAATCATATTTATTTATGTGCATTTCCACAGCTTGAACAAAATATAAAGTACACAATTATTTCAGACATGTGAGGTATTATATAAGAAATGGAAATTGGTTCTGATAAAGCATAAGGAAAAAAAATATTGTTTAGTTTACAGTAATCCGTCTCAACACGAATAACGCTTGCTTACAGTTTTCAGATGCTATTTCACACATCCAGTATATTCCCAGTGTATTTCTTCCGGATAAAACCTCGTAGGACAGGTTTTTCTCGTTAACAACGTGGCATTCGGATTAAACATAAACACTGTATTCCTCACATCCATTATATTCCTTTGTGTATGTTTTCTACGGTAGCCCAAACAAGTATGCTGTATTGCCAGAACTACTTTATATTGTTTAACTTGTGCGAACCTAAAGGCTTAGCCAAAAGGATATAAAAATGATTCTTTAACTACCTTACGATCACAAAATATATATCAACAATGCATAACAAGAGCATTACGTTCCTTTTGCATGCAGTGATGATTCAAAAGTTTCTTCACACGAAAAGCTTAAAATAACGCAAGAAATCAAGCTACCAAAACTATTCAGCTCAAATATAAGTTGCTATAATAGTAATTACTAGCAAGATCTACACTGAGTAAGGGCCTGTCCATACGACCGAGTAGATTTGTCTGTTGGAGTTGCCTCGTTGGCGCGCGGAAAAACCAGCAAGGTGCCCGTGTTGGTTGCTCTTCGAAATTACCATACACTACCCATCCAACATGTACTGTATTAAAAGTTTTCGTTGTTATCGTTCTGATTTTATAATTTACTGTAACTCCCTACGGCATTTAACCATCGAGTAGCAAATATCTCCAATAATTCAATTAAATAGCCTATCAGTAAACAAATTTAGAGAAAATCGGCTTGGAATGGCCCTGACACCAAGTCGCCAATACAATCCACCTTTTACGCATACTTCTTCGCCTTGTGCTGGGACAATGCCCGCCGAACTGCAGCACATTTGCACGTACGAGTAAAGGACGTCGCCTTTTACAGGTACCCGCTGATCATACCCGCTCGTGTGGACAGGCCGCAATACAGTAATAATACCTGAATCAGAATGACACTGCTTGAAGGAAACGTTTTACTACTAACTTCACCGAGGCTTTACAACGGAATTGTGCATTGGTGTCAAACGTAGCTGGGTGTGATAGTTTCTGTCATGGGTTATACTTAAATATGCATAAAGTGTTTTAAATAAACATTAAGCATTCTATTAGCCCGATGATTAACTCTAAATATATTATAATATAATACAAAGTCAACAGACAGTTATATAACTGTAACTGAGCGCATTATATGCAGCGTTTCTAAAATCTAACGGTAAACTTCTCTACTATTTCGTGTATGCAGCAAAATCAGGACTCCCAGTAATTCAAACCGAAAAATACATACATCACAGTTTTACTGTACATCAGACTTCTGGCATTTTTAATACTGCATAACAGTTTTCTGTAAAGTACTCACGGGTCATAAATAAGCTCTGGGCGCATAACTATCAAGTTTATTGACGCCGTTTATTTTCTGGAACAGATCTTTCCACATTAAATAGCTTATGTTAGTAATGATCACATTTTATCGCTACATTTACTCTGACAAGTTCTTATAATGTTGGCGCCTTCACCATGGGTTTAATATCACATTTCAGAAAGTGAGAGAAAAAAACAGAGTATTTTTTCATCACAAGTTCAGCAAGGAAAAAGGTATGTACGTATGTGATTTGAGACGATGCGTACAACACCCAGGTTTTCTTCACACACAACGAAGCGACAGCGAAGACGTACGAAGCGCACTGACTAGCAAGCGGCAGGGCAGGATACGTAGACCCATAGGTGAAGTTCTCGATCTTGGGTGAGATCTGGGCTAGCATCCTCTTTATCCCCAGCAACAGGTGAGGTAACTCCGAGGACCAAAGATGTCGTAAATCCGGAGAAAAGATGGAGATATTCTCAATAGCGCCTTGGAGGTTCACGTGATAACCTGGTCCTTCGTGCTCTCGGTCAAGAACTGCGTGGACGAGGACTGCGACACACCCTGGATAATCGTGGTGTCTATTCTGAAGGCTTCTCTGATGCGGACAGAGAGCACCGGTATGCGGAAATACTGCTGCAACACCGTCGTGACGACCACGAAGGTCATCAGTACTGTTATGATTGAGAGCAGAACCAGTGCTGTGTGGGAGACAAAGATGGAAGCCATGTGTTATTTTCCATGGTGGATTAGAACAAAAGAACGGAAAGGTAAATAGCAAACATATTGTTGTATACTTCTAAAGTATTTGGCAAATTTGCTCTCTCTCTCTCTCTCTCTCTCTCTCTCTCTCTCTCTCTCTCTCTCTCTCTCTCTCTCTCTCTCTCTCTCTCTCTCACACACACACACACACACACACACACACACACACACACACACACACACACACACACACACACACACACACACACACACACACACGGCGCGGCGCAACTTACCGATGATCTGCAATAATGAGAAGTGAGCCGGTGAGCAATCAAAGTCCAGCAGAGCGTAAGGTGATGTGTTGCTTGTGTTGAGGAAAAACAGTCCTCCCAAACTACAGAAAGTAGAGAAAAATAAAACAAGCATATTAAAAAAAACGTAAAATAACCTCTCCCACTGATGTAATTATCCATGAAGTGACTCTAGTACCAAAGTCCCTGTATTTTATTTATTTATTCATTCATTTATTTTTACCTTGGATTAACATTGAAACCCATGTACTGAGCTGTAGAACCACATGGACACGACCCGTTGTTGTAGTATTTCCAGGAGTGGCATGGGCGGGCGAGGAACCGGGTAGTGGAGGTAGGATACTGAATAGACTCAGTGTACAGGACATACGCTATGCCATGGTCGCAGCTGCTGCCCTCTGATGGCAAGAAATCAGGAGGAGACAAAATAAAATGAAATGGTTGCAGTTGACGAAAGATTAATAACATGAAATGGTTGCAGTTGACGAAAGATTAATAACATGAAATGGTTGCAGTTGACGAAAGATTAATAACATGAAATGGTTGCGGTAAACCAGTGTAAAATAATACATTTTAATTCATTATATGTTAACGCTGAAACAAGGTTTTTGGAAAAATCTGCATAAAATATGGCTGAATGCGATGTGACTAGAATCTTGGAATCCGGAGAGTCGCTTTGAATCTGGGACATGTAATAATACTCTCAAATAAGCAGTTTAACATAAAATGATGCCTTTTTCCGTTTTATTTTCGATATTAAAAAAATAAGTTGCTAATATCAGTACTGCTATTTAAATGATATTTTGCAAATGTAACGAAAAGATAGAATGACTATCAATTTCCCGTGATCTGCTGATGATATACATAAATATATTAACACGATAAAAATATGAACTATCAGTGCATAACTTTTGATAAAGGTATTCTGAACACGGAGGCATACATACATACGTACACACGCACGCATATACGCATGCTACGTGTGTATGTGTGTGTGTGTGTGTGTGTGTGTGTGTGTGTGTGTGTGTGTGTGTGTGTGTGTGTGCGTGCGTGTGTGTGTGTGTGTGTGTGTGTGTGTGTGTGTGTGTGTGTGTGTGTGCGTGCGTGCGTGTGCGTGCGTGCGTGTGTGTGTGTGTGTGTGTGTGTGTGTGTGTGTGTGTGTGTGTGTGTGTGCGTGCGTGCGTGCGTGCGTGCGTGAACGACTGCGTGCTGCGGGCTACACACCCCTGACCATCTGGTGTCCGTCGCCCCCCTCCTTGCACATGGGCTGCCGCTCCCCGCCGTTGGGCCAGAAATCCGCGTCTCCGATGTTCTCGTCGATGCCGTAGCAGTCCTGGGGGGGGAACGGCGGTGAGGGACCATTAGTGCGCCGGGTATTTGCTGGGGGTTGGGTAGGGGAGGAGGGGGGGGGGCAGAAAGAAGGAAAGAGGAAGGAAAGGAGAGCGGGAGGGAGGGAGAGAGGGAGGGAGGGAGAAAGGGAAGGAGGGAGGGAGGGAAGGAGGGAGGGAGAGGGAGGGAGGGAGAGAGGAAGGAAAGGAGAGAGGGAGAGGGGGAGGGAGGGAGGGAGAGAGGAAGGAAAGGAGGGAGGGAGAGAGGGAGGGAGGGAGAGAAAGAGAGAGAGAGGGAGAGAAAGAGAGAGAGAGAGAGAGAGAGAGAGAGAGAGAGAGAGAGAGAGAGAGAGTGGTGATGACAGATTACGAGAATCATCCAGAAAGAAAATACAAAAAACAAACCCATACACACAATTATATATATAAAAAACAGTAAAATGTAAATAACAATAATAATAGTAACTATAACGGTAGTGACGACGACGACGATGATGATCAGGGTGATGGTGATAATAATGGTGACGATAATAATAATGATGATGACGATGATGATGATGATGATGATGATGATGATGATGATAATGATAATGATGATGATGACGGAGACGATGATAATGATACAAACCATTCCGCCTCCCACCATCAGAACCACAGAACCACACACAACCCACTCACCGACCACTGGTTCAGGATGGTCGTGCAACCGTGAGTATGAATGACGTCTACGAAATCGGCGTCACTCCGGTCCAGTCGTCGCGTCCGGTCGGTGGTGTGGTACATCAGGCCCGCGGGATCCAGGCCTGGGATGGAAAGGAAGTTTTTCTGTTTTTTTCTTCTCTTTCTTTCTTTCTTTCTCTCTCTCCCTCTCTTTCTTTCTTTCTCTCTCTCTCTCTTTCCCTTTCTCTCTCTCTCCCTCTCCCTTTCTTTCTCTCTATCTCTCCCTCTCTCTCTCTCTCTCTCTCTCTCTCTCTCTCTCTTTCTTTCTCTCCCTCCCTCTCTCTTTCTTTTTCTCTCTCTTTCCTTCTTTCTTCCTTTCTTTCTTTCTCTCACTCTCTCTCTCTTTCTCTCTCGGTCTGTATCTCTCTCG